TATATATATATATATATATATATATATATATATATATATATATATATATATATATATCCACATAGAAAGAAATATTGTTATACAAATACAATTAAATTAAATGCTTATGTTTATAGCAAACGTTTAATTATATGAAACTATCTTCTCTTTTCTCCATATTAATAATTTTTTTCCGTTTGTACATATATACAGGGTGTCCCACGTAAGACGTGCCAAAAGAAAAATATAAGTAGAACAGATAAAACTGAACAAAAATTGTAGAAATTATTTTTTGAACAACTACGTAAAATTTCGAGATATTAATAAAAATAGTTGGACAAATTAGAACGCGGCGACGCGGCAGGCGGGATATACGGCTTGCCGCGGCCGGCGAAAAAAATGGACGATTGCTCGCGGATAATATCTTATAAGCCAGAGAGGTGAGCCGTTTGGCATACTGAAATGAGTAGCTCCGTGTGTGCGTCCGTGTACGTGTGCGTTCTTCCATTTTCTTCGCCGACCGCTGCGACCGCCTGCCGCGTCGCCGCGTTCTAATTTGTCCAACTATTTTTATTAATATCTCGAAATTTTACGTGGTTGTTTGAAAAATAATCTCTACAATTTTTGTTCAGTTTTATCTGTTCTACTTATATTTTTCTTTTGGCACATCTTACGTGGGACACCCTGTATAATTGCACATGTATAATTATATATGAATCGATCAAATATATGTCACAAGGTGACATCGAACAAACTTCGGTACTGTATTCTACTCTTCCTAAGGATGAGAAAAGATCATATAAACATAGGTCTGGCCACTCGTCCTTTTCGAGATATAAATACTTTTTTGTTTATGATTGAGTATTGTAGGAATGTTTAAAGTTTACTTAAAGAAATTGCTGGAAATGACTTCTGCAACAATACACGCTTCATATCGACATTGCAGAGACTGTCAAAGATATTTAAAAATTCCTGGTGTATTTCGAATTTTATCAAATGTGGCAATAATCTGGTTTTTTAGTGTTTACAGATTATCAATAGTATTATTATCATAGACTAAACTTTTAAGATGTCCCTACAAATAAAAATCTAAAGGAATTAATTCAATCATAAACTCAATCATATTCAATCATAAACAAAATGTATTTATATTTATTTTTGCATTGATTTTAGTTAGCATGTGTATACTCATGTGTCTTGTACAACGTTCGAATTAAAAGTTATTGTTAACGAAAACTGAGGCCATATTTCAAAAGGAGTAACGTTGTTAGAATAACAGAAAGCATTTAATCGTGTCCTCATGCACATAAACCTAACCCTAACTCTAACTTTAACGGATAGGAGCTTACCGTTCAACTGATTCAGATCCGAACGTTCAGTACGAATTTTCTCCCTGTGAATCAGTGGTTCACCGCCAGAGAAGTCGGCCACCGTCGCAGCGTACAGCTGTCCCTCTGAAACATGCATAAACGTTTCCGTCAGTGTCAGTCAGTTGGCCGCTCGGTCGCGCCTTCCACATTTCCAACCTAAACGAGACATCGGGTTGATGATTATTCAGCGACACTCTCAGGTTAATTCATCCTCTTCCACGCGCATCTCCTAGAAATTGCTCGTAAAATTTATGCTGGAGGGATTCGCAGTAGTGCAAGCCACTCGTTCAATATGATCGCACGCACGAACTCACATTCCCGTTATCAAAGTTAGTCCGGAAAGACCGATAGAATCTAAGGGGAAAGGACATCCTTTAAACGATGCCATAGTTATGCGAATAATTATAGCGAGATTTATCTCGCCAGTCATCCTCCCAAATTTATGATTCCGTATATCAACACGACAATTTGTACATTTATTGATTTTATGAAGATGCTTTATTAAAATCAAACGAATAGATAGAAGATTTTATAGATTTTATAGGTTGCGTTAAAATCTGATAAGTAGCCTGCTGACTGCTAATCAATTGGAAATCAAAAAGTACATTCTTAGAATTGCTATCGAACTTATATCGATGAGAAAAATAATGATATCAAATATAGATACAATTTCACGAATCATAACATTTGAAATTGTGCGAGGTGTTACATTTGTAGAATATTCTATTTGTAGGATACAAAATTTAGTAAAACGACATTTACGATGACGATTCTTTACAGCTGCAGTCGCTTGCAGTCTGTCGTAAAACACCCTCGAAGAGTTACACACACACACACACACACACACACACACGTGTCGTTAAATTTACACAAAAATCACTCAGTTCTGTATCTAACAGTCGTGAAAAGAGGAGACGGAAAGACGGCTTGGCCGTCTAAAATAAGCTCTTCAGTTGAGAAAAAGCACGTAATGCCATGGATGACTGTATATTCGTACAGATCGCCCGTGGACAAGCAATTTATCTCTGCATCGTGGCAACCGACCGCGAAACCGGTCGGAAGAAGCCGTGTGGATTTGATCGGTACACGTGTGTACAGCATATATCGCGCACGCGCGAGTATACACAGTGGGCACCTACGAGGTAGACTACATTTTCTCCTTCCTCTTGCTGTAGCGAAGATCCTCGAAGGATTCGCCGCGGCCCCTTACGAGGCCGCCATATTTCACGTTCAAAAAGCACGATGGGATTTGAGGTTGGCCGACATATGCGCGCGATAAGTGTATATAGCGGCCGGGCGGTCATATATAACGGGGGCCGAGGTAGACGTTAGACTTAGGGGATGAACGTGCCCGTTGCAGGCTACAAATCTATGGTGAGCCCTGCGCCGAAGCTCGCGAATACCGTATACCGCGCGTGCCACGAGGTAATACCTGCGGGAAAGAGGTTCGCTACGTTACGCGCGCACGCAGCGTATTACGTGGCGTATGTGCGCATGTCGTACTTTTCGTGCACCCTTGTTTCATCCGAGCGCGACACGTAGCGCGGCATTGAGATTGGAGTAGTTGCTGCTATTGCGCCGCTACACTTGAAGTAATTTAATGCACCGTTGCGTCGTCCACGTGTTGCGTTCTATATATCTCATCTCTATGAAAATTTGACCAAATTCCTAAAGAAGCCTATGGAAAAGTGGGGTTTAGAACCGAAACGCTAATAAAGCAAATATACAAAAGATTAAAAAAAGAAACTTTTATTCTTGAATTTTATATGTATAATGTGTCGTACTTCTCGGGAGAAATCTCTTAAAGCAGAAGATTTTTTAGACAATTTGAAAATAAAAATCCTAATATGAAAATATCGAGACTATAATAATTTCCAAATAATAAGTAATCGAAGTTGATCAATTATAATAGTTAAAATCTACTATTTTAATACAATGCGATGTACAATAATAAGGCACTGTAACGGGCATATTTTCCATGCAGTCGGCACATGGATCGGACGCTGTACAAGTATAATTGATACTCGATCGTTCGGCGGATTGGCGAGGCACGACAGCTCACGAATCAAAGGGCGCCAGGTACAACGGTCCGTAACTAACTAACTCTAAATCACAAAAGAAAAGATCTCGCCGACGAGCGCATCTCATCCTCTGCCCAAAACGGCTCGTACAAAAAAACCGAGAGCTCTCTAGCAATCGTTGGAACCCGGTTTTATCCCAGATTCGAATCGCTCTTCTCGACAGCTCTCGGCCCTTGATTGGTAGATTTTCGGGATCGAATCTTCCCAGTTTCAGCTTTGTTTATGGCGACAGCTTTGCCTTAGTTTTTTATTTCGGCAACTTATCGTTCCGACCTTGGGCTTCGTCTCGGCAGCCGTTGTTTTCCTCGATCCCCGAGCCTCGCGGCGTCTTCGTTTGGCTCGGAGGACACTCCGAGTCGCGGAAGATGCGCTCGCCGGCGTCGTTCAGGCTGCGGCTGTTCTCCGCTCGTCTGCGGTGTTTGTCGACTCCGTCCTCGCGGTTTCCTTGCGACAGCTCGTGATCGGTCCATGTCGGCAGCTCTTTCTCGAAGTTCCCCGTCTCCTAGTCGACCACCTTTAGGCATTGGCTGAAACACGCCTTCTTAATTGGCTCTGTCGATCTCTAATTATATTATTACTTATAGAAACGATTCACCTGGGATATCCGGTCTCCGATATGCTCCTCTCGAGGATTCCTCCTCCCAGACGACGGCAGCAAATCCTCCCTGGTGCGGATCTTCGTTCTTCTTTACTCGACCTCTTGATGACCGTATTCTTACACAAAAGTAAATGAGGGCTGCGTAGGTTCGCGTCCTGTTCGCCTCACGGCTAGGACGCGACATCCACGTGCAGCCGGAAAGCTCCTTTTAGGCTTCCTCACGACATTTCGAGTGACGGGCGATAATTCAAAATCGCCACGTCACAGCACAAATACACAAATGTATTGCCTCATTTTTTATATTAATACAAAAATTATATATGCTATAATGATAATTATATGATACTACATATTATATGATACTATATATCATATGATACTATATGTTGTGCCTGCGTTTCCGGAGATGCATCGATCTTTATTAATGATCCCGGTATAGAAGAGACAAGCGAACGAGCGTGGTTGACAACAGCTGACAGAGAGTTGACGACGAGTCGTGGATGCGAGCGGATGTATCAATCGTTAATAACGAGCTTATTTAATTAAAGATAGTAGTAAACAATAAAGCTTCTCGTTCTTTTATAAAAACGTCTTGATTTATTTATCTTGTGCGCGAACGCGAGTGAAACGTGAGCGCAACAATACGTATGATATAATATCTTTGTCTCTACTGTAACGTAAATAAATATAAAATAAATCACAACTAAATGTATATTATGTCATGGATAAATGTATGTATACGGATAATAATTTTCGTAAAAATATATACTCTGCGAGCAGTATACGCAAATATGCGTGCGCATGTATATACATTTATTATTACATGATTATTTATTATTTACATTCCTATCCAATTTTTTTCTTTAATGTGAGAAATAAGTTTTTACGTGATTAGAAAGTTTTCCATATTTTTTTCTTCTTTAAATTTATTTTAAAGTATAATGTTATTATGGATAAAATATATAATTATATTTAAATATATAATTATATTTAAAAGTGTACACAAACACGCGTCTTTCAAAGTACAAACATATGCACGTGTGTATGTACATATGTATGATGTATATGTAATGTTCTATTAAAAAATGAGTGTTCCCCTTAAACTTTTTATTATTGAAACTTGTAAATTAGAAACGATTAATTTTTGATACGTTTTGATCATACACTTTGTATTTCATACGCTATTACCGTTAAACTAAATGACGCAAAATTTGTCCTAATGCTAACGATAATACTTTCCTCCAGCATATAAAATGAAGATAATTAAGTCAGATCTCTCTTGCATGCATCTGATTTGTAATTTATTTAATTCAGATGCGTCCAACATTCTAACGAATTCTTTTTTCTCTGCATTCATTTTCACACCATTATCGCGTGTTACTATCATATATTCCAACACCAAAGTTTTATCTCTTATTATAAAACCAAATAGGATTAAAATATCAACATGCACAAGCCGCACCCGGCTTTTAACTCACTCGTTTATTTATACTCTAGTCTGTATTCTTAATTGTTAACATTTTGTTTTATATCAGTATATTTATTTTTACCCGTACGTACAGAGTATTGCGTAGGGATGGGCGATGTTCATCGATTAATCGAAATAACTAATAGTTTTTTTTTTTAATAATCGATTTTATTTTCGTCTATTTAATCGTCTAATTTAATGTGTGATTTTTTTTTTAACATCGGCCACAAATTTTTTTAATTCTATGTTGCAGCCATTATAACTAGTCCAGTTTCGGTTTTTTTTATTCTGTCGTAAAAATATAGTCTATGTTCCAATATTTGACTCTATACAGCAGCATGTCTAAGGCTAATATTATTATTATGTGTCGTATGACAAGCTTGTCGGACATTCTAATTGGTTGTGAGATAAAGAATTTTTGAGATACCTGGAAGAAAAATTAGAGGCCTTAGGAGAATTCTATCCTAGCCAATCGACACGTCTGATAATATTTGTCATACGTCGCATGTAGAGTAAAAACACCAAAAGCAACATACCACTTTGTTATGTCTTAATATAAAGCTCAAAATATAAATGTAAATATGTATATATATGTAGTTGGAAATACCTCCTATTAGATAATATCACATTTTTACTGAAATTGTTTCTAGATTTAAAACAAAAAATGTTTTCGTAAAACGTACGAAAATGGAGTTCAAAGAAAATAGGTGCCAAAAGTGACATACCTATTGGAATTTATATAATATGTCGCATATATGATAATATTTGATAATAAATAGTTCATTAATGCGTTTAATGGTTGAATAATATTCATTTATTCAAAATATAATGTTATAAAAAGGAAATATAATTAAATAAATACATATCTTTTTCCATCTTTTTTATTTTCTCACATATTTTACATATGTTATATTTTTAAACTAAATAAAATTAAACT